GGCGAGTTGGTTTTGAAGTGGTGCCTCATCGTGGTTTCACCCCAGCCGGCAGCTAAGCGCCAGACAGCCGCCCGCTCGCCTCTCCGGCGGGGTGGGGGAGAGAATCAGAAGGCTAAAAGTGAGAAAACTTGAGAGTTGAGATAAAGACGGCTGAATAGGTGAGGCAGAAGCCATGCGAGCGAAGCAAAACAAGGAATTCATTCACCGCTTCCCGTCGGCGGGCTGTGTTCGGCCGTCGCCAGGAGAGCAGGGCGCCGTCACGCGCAACGGTTCCTTGGGCAGGCAAACGCCATCGCTGCCACTGTCCCCTCTTCCTTCTTCCCCAGCTTTATACGCTGGGCACAACGTCCTGTGGTCCGGAGCGTCGCTGGAGTCAGCTGTCCCGGCTGCGTCCCCTCGCGGCTGCTTGTGCCCCCCAGCCCCCTCGCTGGTGGGGTGGGTGAGGAGCAGGAAGGGCCTTGGCTCTGTGCGAGCGCTGCTCAGCAACACCTAAAATATCCCTGTGAGATCGACGCTGCTTTCGGCACAAATCCAAACCTCAGCCCCGTACCAGCTACTACAAAGAATATTGACTCCACCCTGGCCAAACCCAGCACGTGCTCCACCCCTTGTTCCATACCACATACGTCATGCTCGGGTCCCACACTGTCCAATACGTCCTCACCACCCCCCTTCCCGTCCTGTGGTACGATACACAGGTGCTGCTCCCCTGGGCTGTGGGCCACCCCTCTAAAATGTCCAGAAATGGCCACAAAATGCACACTGAGCTTGTTTTGTCCGCGACTTTGGGCTCCATCTGCTCTGGTGGTCACCTAGGGCAGGAGAGGTGCTGTGTGCGTGGAGTTGCTGGGCACTGGAGCCAGCTTGGGTCAGGTTGCTGCTGCGCTTGCTTCTGGTAAGGCTTGTTCTCCAGTGATTCATGAGCTGCTCCAACTGTGGTCATGCTCATGGGCTGCCGTCCTTCATGAACTGCTCTGCCATGGGGTCCTTCCCTGGGCTGCAGGTGGATATCTGTTCCACCATGGATCTCCATGGGCTGCAGGTAGATATCTGTTCCACCGTGGACCTCCATGGGCTGCAGCTGCCTATCTGCTCCACTGTGAACCTCCATGGGCTGCAGCTGCATATGTGCTCCACCGTGGACCTCCATGGGCTGCAGCTGCATATCTGCTCCACTGTGGGCTTCCATGGGCTGCAGGTGGATCTCTGCTCCACCGTGGACCTCCATGGGCTGCAGGTGGATCTCTGCTCCACCGTGGGCCTCCATGGGCTGCAGGGGGATCTCTTCATGGGCTGCGGGTAGATATCTGCTCCACCGTGGACCTCCATGGGCTGCAGGGGCACAGCCTGCCTCACCATGGTCTTCATCACGGGCTGCCTGGAGCACCTCATCCCCCTCCTCCTTCACTGACCGTGGTGTCTTCAGCGTTGTTTCTTTTTTGCTGGCTGGTGGAGACGTAGCTGTGTGTCCAACCCAAGCAATCTGCTTTACAGGTGATCGCCAACATGGCCACAGCCTACAAGCGGGAGCGGAAGAGTGTGAAAAGGAAAAGTCGGGGCCTGCCCTCTCTCGCCTTCAAGGTGGAAGATGGCGTGTTCGGGAGCAGCGCAGCCACCTCCCTGAAGAAGCTGAAGAAGGCCCAGTTCGTGTCCTTTCAGATCGAGACGGTCCTGCCACCTGAGCAGAGTATGGCCGGCGTGAAGAAAACCAGTTAGCCTCTGGGGCTCTTCTGGGGGTCCCGCGGGGCTGGGGACAGGAGCACGGACTGTCCCCGAGGTTTGTGGCCCGTCTGCGTGGGAGCCCGGGGTGCGGATGTGCCTGGTGTGTCCCAGGGAGGAGGGACGGGGAAGGTTCGGATGAGGGTGTCCGTTCAGTCCCTTCCTGGCCCAGCTTTGCCCTCGGACCGTTCCTCCGGCCGCGGGCAGCGGCACCGTACTCACTCCCG